CCCCCCCCCCCCCCCCCCTTCAAATTATAGCCTAGGTGACTGAGGTTCTTGCTTGAGAGCACCAACAACTGGAGGCTTGCTCCTGGCTGAGAACCCAGGGGTATTTTGGGCTGGAGACCTGTGTGCCGTGGTTGATCGCAGCAGACTCGGCAGGGTGACGCTGCTGTGCCGCACTGCTGGCAGCATCCAGCAGGTTCCCTTCGGTTTCTGTTGCTTCTGATCACAAATCCAAACAGGTTTTGCAGATCTGAACAGGTCTTGCAGACCTGTGCTCAACACCACTCCAAGTGAGGTGTGGTTTGACCGAGGTGGGATGTTTCGTGACAATTCAACTCTTCTGTAAAACCGATCCCTTGCGTGGAGCCGCTGTGTTCCTCTCAGTCTGGGCTACGTCAGCAGCAGGGAGCTGCCTAGAGAGATGGATTTTAACTTTTGTTCCCTAACTCCAGAGACCTGAATCCAGTAGAATCTTGAGTGATGTGTGTTTTGTTGAGCTTAGTATATTGCAACTTGTTATTGTCTTTTCAACTGTGCATATCTGAATAGGGACAGTGGTAATGATGAATCATTATTATACTATAAATAAAACATTATCCAGATTATGCTGGTCAACAGAGCATAAAACAAATAGCAAATTCTAATGTCCTTGAATTACAATTATTTTTTTTTTAAAAAGCAGCAATCACGGCAGCACAGGATACCAGTTTGTGCTGATTGCCTCTGCCTAGTTGCTATGAGAGTTTTTCCATTCGCATCAGGATTATTCAGGGCTTTGCTCTTTTAGCACTGCCTAGTAAATTCTCTCTAAAAAGAAAATGTAGCAACCCCAGGGAGCTCACAGCAAACAACGCTCAGCTTTTCGCTTTTTTTCTCCTCCGTCTCGCTTGCTGCTGAGTACAACGTGGCTTGTCGATGGAAGCGCTTGGGAGTTGGCAGGCGGGGGGGGAGCGGGCAGAGAGCCCCCGCTCCCAGCGCAATATCACCGGCGCTGCCCTGATTGAGAGGCCGAGACGCTCGCAGCAGGATCCGACCACCGCCGGGGCTTCCGAAGAGATGAAAAGCCCGAGGGTCCGAAGGATGGAATTCTTGAGGGGAGAAGAAAAAGAAAAAACAAACTTAAGTTACTTCCCCGTTCAAGTTGAAATGATTAAAAAAGAAAATACAGAATGTGCGTGGTTCCCGCAGTACTGCACCGTCTGCTGTCTAAAGGAGAAAAAGCTGATGCTTATGTGTACCATGAAATCAGCTTCTAATTGGGATTTTTTGATATGTATATCCATGGGATGGGGAGAACAATAGGAAGGGTACTTAGTAAGGAGTTTAGATACATATTTGCACTGATATAAATGCATGCAAATCTATACTATTGAGATTCGGATTAAAGTTTGTATATTAAAAACTTCTACATGAAGTTGCTGCAGTCAGTAAGATATTACTGTCCCCTTGGGACACTTTCAAAGAGTAGTATTTAACCTTCCATATTTTTATTGTAAAAACCTTTGAGTAAGAGTTGAGGAACAATCATTGAAATTTTAAACTTGTCTACAATAGTCAACTGTTATACAGGAATTTTTTTTTTTTTTAATACGGACTGAAATGTGTGAAATTAAGTCAAACTTAGTTCTGTTTACATGTGCAGTGTGAAATTTGACCTAATGAAGTCTGTCACTTCCTTGGGTTCACTGGATTGCATTTTGCTTACCTTGCTAGGTGTAAATAATTTCTTCTTAATCTGATTTTGACTACAGTAAGATTGTAAATGCTTTATTGCAGTGACTTTCTCAAAATCGATCTAAAAAAAAAAAAAAAAGACAACATAATGCTTTTAAGCTGACTTTTAAAGCATTGTGATTGGAAAAAAATGTGGTGGGGGTTCTCTAGCATGATGGGTTTTGTACCAAGGCTCCCTCCCTCTCGGGCTGGGCTGCTGACTTGTGCTGGGGCTGGGGAGCTTCTCCTGCTGCCGCAGCATCCAGGTGTTAGAGAACTGCTCAGATGCTGCTGCTGAGGGTTTGCTTCTCCCTGGGAAAATGTTTGGGTTATGTTACTCCACCGTGTCTCCCAAGGCAGCCTCTCTGTGCTGTCACCTTTTTCAGCGACCTTTTGGCTTTGGCGGAACTGTCTCGTGTTCGCTGGGTGCGGAGGGAGCCGGGTGGGTTTGCTGATGGTTGCTCCTCTGTCCTTTGGGGGCTTCTGGGGGGGGACTTACAGATGAGAGAACAGTTCTTTGCCATGCTCTGCGGGAGGATGGGCTGCAGGTGGTTGCAGCTGGGTCCCAGGGTGCCAGGACAGAGTCTGGGTTAACCCTTCTCCTCCTGCTGCCGTCACTCTCTTCCTCTGCTGCTCCCTGTGCCCACACCAGCCCCAGTCTTGCCTGAAGAGCTCAAGAGTTGTTTCAAGTCAAAAGCTGCCCGTTGGGTGCATGTTTTCTTCTGTGTTCAGGAAGCTCAGGTGTTAAACCTATTTAAATATTTGTGTCCTGGTTCTTAATAGCCTTTCTGTGTGAATCCCCAACATGGCCCAGGTGTTTCCAGAGTGGTGTTTTTTTGCTCAGGGTCCTGGTTTGTCTGCCTGAGGTCCTGGAATCCTCAACCCAGGACATGGCTGTGCCATGGTGGGAGAAGGTCTGCGCAGGGGGAGGATCCAGCTCCTGTCTCGATGAGAAACTCCTGAAGTGGCAGCGGGCAGCCCCCTCTCCCAGCACCTTCCTGCTTGGGAGGAGCTGGTGTGTTTTTTAACTTGGACTAATCCCTTTTAATGTACCTTGCACAATTATTAAGCAGTTCATGATTGTCTTTGTCAAAACACGCACTTCATTTCTCAAATATCACAAAATGATATCGAACCTCTTCTGCCTAGGCTTGCAGCGTAGTTCACTGTGGCGCATACTTAAATATCTCCTAGACAAATTCCAGCTGGGGAAAAACATTCAGGGATGTGTTGCAGTGCCTTAGTTTTTCTTTGTCTTGTACATATACAACATTAAAAAAAAAGCCACAAGCAAGTGCCAGATTTAGCAAACTCTCTTTATTTACATACAAATACATGTACACGTATATTCTGTATATGTACACATATTTAAGTGTATATACATACATGATTTCCACATCCTCTACAATAAATAGCATGTAGGTGGTTTTTTTTTAATTGCCTACAATGCTGAGTAAAAATACATGGCAATAAAATCATGGCTTACAGCTAAGTTACAAAAGCACCAACCACCAAACTCATAGCAATAAATCCAGGCTTATATACAGCCAGAACGAGGACACGCTATACAGAATACAAATAGACCATCTTGTTGGAATCAACAGTAATAGACAAACTAAAAAACATCATTTAGACCAGGAGAGACTGTATGAAATCAGATGAAGGAAAACATTTAGATTATTGATCAAACTAAGCAACACATTTAAATTTGTCACCTAAAGAGAAAAACAAAGCAGCCAGTTACGTGTAGTCTATTTTTAACAGAATAAATTTTTTGTATGAGACTCTACCAAGGAAATCGGAATTAATCTCACGAGTGTGTCTGAGCTGTCATAGTCATTTGTCTGAGTCCACACCACTTGAACAGAGTATTTTAGTAGTACTTTATTTAAGCTGTATGTAACTTCTTGGACCCCGCACGTAAGTTTGATTGGAGCAATAAAAAGCGCTTCCTCAGCCAGCTTCTTCCACAGGACCTGGGACATCGAACTGTCGCAAAGAGCTACGACAACAAATTGGCAGCAGCAGCAAAATCAATAACCAGGGAAAGTGCAGGGGCTGATGCTGGAGGCCGCGTGGCTGGAGCTCCCCGCGATCCACTGCGGCAGCAGCCTCCGTCCTGCTGAGCAAAACCGCAGCCAGACCCTCCCTTCGGGGAACCAGCTGTGGTGGAGTGATGCTACTCTGTGCTAAGGGAACGTCTGGCATATTTTTATATTAATAGCAATTGTTTGAAATCTGCTTTATGAGGTAAAGATGCATAGATTTTTGTCATTCTCTTTATTTGTCATTGCTTATATTTTGACTTAAGGTATGCGATGCAGTAGTAAGGAAGACAACTGGGTTCCGTGAAGCAGAAAGCTTGTTGTTGTTCAGGTATTGTCCTTCGCTGTGGTGTATTTTCCTGCTGCAGTACAGTGCTAAGAGGCCTAGATAGCAAAATAATCGCTTCCTTTACATGGAAGCCAGCCCATTACCATTTTCAGACTTCAACAGAGATTATCTTTTTCCGAGGTACATATGTTCTCTATCGCTGTAAAACTAGTACTGGTGTATATGTAAATATTTGAGAAGAATCAAAACCAATGGTGACCACAGAAGGGAGAAATGTACACCAAACCTGCACACCTGGTGGGTCTAATAAACTAAAGCTCATCAATGTCTAATTACATCATTGCATATCCACGGGTAAGAAGTCTGAAGGAAGAACTACTCACTCTTCACTTCAATTAATGTGTACAACTACTATAACTCATAGAAATGCAGATGCTTTTTTCCTTTTTTTTTTTTTTTTTTCCTAGAAAAAACACTTTCTTGTAGTATTTCGACTTGATTCCTTGAGCCCAGTGTGCACAACATTCTTTATGAAATTAGTGGGAGAGCTGTTTATTTGGATTTTGTATATAAGCAGCTGGGAGTCTACTTCATCATTTGTTCTTTATATTGTCATCTAAAGTTCCCAATGAGAAATAGGATCCTGCTAAGTGCTGTCCAATTCAAGTAAAAGACAATCTCTTTGCCATTGAGTCTAGTTTAAAAAAACCCACGATTTTCAAGATCGATTTTCATTACAGACATAATTTTGTTTGATTTTTGTCATGTGTCTGCCTGGTAGCTCCCTTCTTAATGACGAGAGAGTTAAAATGCAATGGTCTCAAATGAAAATGGTTGTTACATAAATAGTTGGATTATTTACGATACAGCACAAACACAGCTACAGTTTTTAAAGACTTTTTAACCTGATAGGAAAACATATTCTTCTCCAAAAGGTTAATGGAAATGCTTATTTTTATGACTGATGCTGTATCTCTACAGTTATCCAGGGTTGTATCAGCCAGAGGACAAGTACGGAGTCTCACTATGGTAATTATAATCAGGACAGACCTTTTGCACCAGTTTGTAATCTACGCTATAAAAAGCAATGTAAATGCAGATAACTTTAAATGGTTTGGAACACAACCAGGAGACATGGCTTTGGGTCTGCTCTTGATAGCAGATCTTCGAGGGGTCAAAATTACACAAGGCAGTTTTTTTCGCACGGTCTGTTTTTTCGTACTCAATTCGGCAGTTGAAGGACTTGGATTCCTTGGTCTCCAGTGTTGACTGTGGAGAGGATTCAAACTCAACCACCTTGGAAGGCGGCACCAGGCTTACAGAAACATTTCCCAGACCTGTGGAGTTATGTCGGAAATAAACGCTGAAGGTCCCATTGCCATGATCGACGATTTTCCCTGTGATCAGGAGGTTCAGCTTTACAGTTTTGATGTTAGAGTGGAAGTCGCCCCATCCAAACATTTTCTTGAATTTCCCAGTTTTTACTATAGGTCTGCGTTTAGTTCGTGCGAGAGATTCCTGAACCTCCGTGATGTTGGACAACCAATCCCAAAAGTTTTCTATGCTGTCCGAGTAGGACACCTGGCCATGTTTCAGTACTGGGGATGGCTTAACAAACAGGCGTAAAGGATTGATGATCCTGGAATGGACCACGTTGTCAACCAGTGTCTCTGCAGCTTCCTTGTCTTCCCAGTCCAGCACGTCCGTGGCTTGTACGACTTGATTAACATTGCAAAGTACCTGTTTCAAAGCAGAGAGAAAGAACTGTAAATAGAAAGTCTGAAAATAAAACTGTCAAGATAAAAAAGGAACCGTTAATATTTATTTTTACACCGAGAGGGTCTGGACCAGCCCAGTCACAGGGGCTACTGTAATGAGTAATTTCTGCTGCCCCATGAAAACTCAAGGATTTTACTCAGAATAACTTACAGAAGATGCAAAAAGCTCAACAACAGCCATCCGCTGGGACAAATGGATAAATCTCTGGACAGGTCAAGGGCTGCAATGTGTGAGAGCAGGCAGACAGTCTTTGCTCACACATTTGTTAGATAAAAGTATGCCTAAGGTGCTGGAAAACCTGAACAGCACAGTGGCACCTCTGCTAAACGATGGAGTGAAATAGAAACACAGAATTTTCCATTCCCCTTTGTTTTTCTCCCCGTTTAACCTCCCAACTAGTTTAGGCTTAAAATCCTGCCTTATTCAGCCGTTTCTGGTGTTGCATACTAAAATATTTATTATATATTTGTCTTTTCTCATCTTGCCTTTTCCATTTTTTCCAAACTTAGCATGCCCATCTGTGCTCTTTGTTTGAGACGCATTGCAAAAATAACTATATATTTGGGTTGTGCTGGTTTCAGTTGTGAAGCTGCCTGTTATTTAGCAAGGCCCAGCCTTCAAGAAGTGCTGAGCAATCCCAGCCATACAGCACCTCTCATCATTTTTCAGAAATGTGACTAAGCCAAGCAAATCTAATGCAAAATTGTTTGCAGTCGGAAAGCAAATAACTACTTCTGGTAGCGACAGAATGGTGTTAGATTTCACAGTCATACATGCAGGTCTCAGTAAATAGCAGATTTCCAATTTGCGGAACTCAAGCATATGCTCAAAAGGTTGGAAGCAGGATCCCTGTTTCAACAGGCTAGAAGTGATCATCTAACTTTTTAGGCCCTTTAAAGCTTGAACATAAGTTTTGGAGTATGTGTTTTCGAGGTTTGTTCTCTTCAGGACTCTTTTATACCATCATCCTAATGTACAAAGAAAAGCTTTCAGCTGCAATTATTCTCACAAAATGTGTGAACAGAATGAAAAGGCGCTTCAAATGGCAGGAAGAAAGAACAGTGTTGTGCTGCCCTCGTCTCCAGTGAAAAGCTGCTGCTGCCTCTTCCTCCTGGCTGCTCTTGCTTCATCGTCTCTCTTGCAATGCCAGGGTCCGGGTGGGGGGCTCCCAGTGTTACTGCCAACCACAGCAAGATGATAGGTTGGAAGTTTGCCTAAAGCACCCAAACCACCCAAGCGCGTGCTGCTGCCGTCCGCAGTTGCTGGCTGGTGCTGCGTGCGTGGGGTGGGATTCTGTGCTGCCGGTCCTCCCGGGGGGAACTGCAATGCTGGGGCTTGCTTTTCCCTCTGCTAGTGATCCCAAAGGGGGTCTTCTACGCCCTTAGTTCCTTGCAGTATACAGTTTCTATAATGTTAAATTGTTATTTCTATACTCTTCAATTTTTCATTCCATCCTCTGGCAAGGATGAGGAACTCCAAACCCCTTAATCTTCACTGGGGCCTGTTCTCTAGCAACAGGCTCCAAACCAGAGCCCAAACCCACCTTTCACATGTTGTTCCTGCTCATCCCTAACACAGCAATTAAGATGGTATGTGGAAAGGCAGCCATCACGGCAACATCCACAACCTGAATGTTGAAAGGCGGCCATCATTATTGCTAAATAAGTCTGTGGCTGGATCGAAATGTAGTGGTCAGGTGTGTCTGCAGAAATACGTTATTTTCTTTGTTGGATTTGAAAGGGAAAGAAAAAAAGGCCACCGTGATCACTCTCAGCCTTAGACCTTGTATGTCAACTTTCTGCGCCTACACTGCGTTTTTTATGGCTGAGCTATGAACCCAGGAAAATAGGAGATTCTAATGGAAACAGTGACAGATGCTTATCTGTACCAGCACAAATAGCACTGTCATAACGATGCTGGGGGAAGCATCGTTTCCGCTGTGATGGAAGGCTCCTGGTGAAGCAATGTCATGTTTATGCATGGTTCTTCAGCCATTTTTAAGCCTGCTCACAAGCTCAAAAATCAGCCGGGTGATGCTGAGAACAGCTGGCTGACCCCACCGCCAAGGAAATAACTCCCCTGCTGAAACAAGAACTGCTGCACACGTTCACCCATCCTTCACCCCCAAAACTGACCTGAGGCCTTTAGAAGCACAAAACAGGGGCTTTCCTGCTGCATTTCTAGATTCCAGCTGGGACCAGGGTGCTGGCAGCGCTGAAATACCGGAAACTTTTCTCTCTGTTTGCATGGCTGAATGATCTGCTACTTAAAATGCTAATGACCACTCAAAACTGTGGGCACCTATCCTTGGTATTGCTGTTAGTAACTGAGCCAGAGGGAGCTGCAGTTGGAAATTTTAAGGAGAAATACATAGAAACAAAGCTGCTTGGTTCACAGGAGGTTCTAACTTTGCTTGTGTCCGCACCCAGCTCTGAGTGTCCTCTGGCAAGGGCACGGAAACACACAATTGTCCTTCTGGGCTACTTTTCTTTTTGCAATGTTTATTGAAATCCGTGCAATGGCTCTTTAGCTTTTCTCCCCTCTCCTTTTATGAAGAGATCTAGAGGGCATTGAGTCATGTGTTACTGGTAATACTCAATGTATGTCTCTTCAGGGGGCTCTCACTCCAAATGAGATAGCAGAGCATTGCTTTCTGAACTGCTTTTTTTCAGAAGGCTCCGATATAAAAAGAAGAAATATATAGGTATAAGGTTCAGGATGGCTGAAGGGTGAGAAACATTAATGCATGCTAAAACCAGGTGGGTTTGTCACATTGATAAGGTTCTAGGGCACAGTTATTTCAAAACCATGATGGTGGAATTGCGAAGTTGCATCATGCTAAACTACTACTGCTTTTAATTATCTATGTGTTACACCGAATGAGGTGTACCCATAACATAACGAAACATGTCCCCAGAGCTGCAATGACGTAGACAATTTCATGTGGCAACGAAACACCTTTCATAATATGGGAACACGAAATCATTAATATGTTCATTTATAAGGATGTAATGTTCTTGTTTAAGGACCAGATAGCAATCACTAGCCACTGTTGAACGTTGTACCTTACACTTAACCTGAGTAATTTTTTCCTCCTCCTCTTTGAACTAGTTCTCAGACTGTAGGACTCTCCTATCTTGTGCAGCCTTAATTCTTGACTCTGCTTCATCCTACTGCTGTCTTGTTTCCCTGATTTCATTCCAGGAGCGAGAATCAGAGGCTCAGTCGCTTGCAGGGAAGGGGGCTTTGCAGGCCCTGGGTAGTACATTTGTTGTGTTTTGCAAATATTCAGTAAAAAGGTGTCTAACAAAGAACCGCTTGGTTCTGCTCAATGCCCAGCACAGGAGCAGGAATGAGGGTGCATTGTTCAGAAATGTGAATAATATTTGTGCTTTTTAAATGTAAAACATTTTTTTGTGCGTATGCGGATTTTATTTTTTTTTTCTATTTTGAATAAAGCTTTCTGCAACATAAGAGAACCCAACTCTAATGCTTTGTTTTCCTCTATACATCGCCAAGGCCCTTTGCTTGATGACAGCTTTTTGCTATTAGCAAGGATGGGCCGACACTCTTTGTTCAGCTGTTTATTCATGTTGGTTAGCAATTTCCGGGAAATAAAAAAATCTATATTAAAAGAATGCAGCACATGCTGGAAAAAATTTACTTCCTCAGCATCTTCCCATTTCACTATAATGCTTCTCTATAGTGGAAAATATCGCTCGTAGGGTATTTGAAAAATACTAGCTTAGGGACGTTAATGTATACATTTAAATAGATGGCTATTGCTGTAGTTCTCCTCTGCTGCACCTGCATTTTCCCATTTCCTCCAAACCATCAATTTTCAAACAGAAGAAATCACCTAATCTTTTTCCATATTACAGAGGCTGTAAAATGTCACCCAGTTACCCTAAAATTCCTATTAGACTGTAGATACTTTCCAGTAAGAAACATAATCTTGGACCCATCGAGATGTACAGAATCCACAACATGCCTTGCTGTTTTCTTTTGCTACGTTAACCACGAGAACAGCTCAAACCAAAGTATGATGCAGTTTATATTTATGGACTTTTAAACTTCAAGCCATTGGTTCTTCCTGTGCACTTCTCTGAAAGATGGTGATTGCTCTTCAAAACCTTTCCCTTCCATGAATGATCCTGACCATGGTAGAGCAGCACAGCGTTAAATAACATTCCCCGTGAACTATTTCTGAGAAATGACCCCGTGTTGATGAGACACTGGTATCAATAAATGCTGCTTTTTTTTTTTTCCTTCTCTATTTGCCCAAATAAATTTGGGTTCATCTGGAACTTGCTCCCATGCCTTTCTCTGGGGGCAAGGCACTAAATAAAAGCAGGTGTAGCAGTGCAAGAGTTAATCGTTTTGATGATTTGGGAATTTTCTCCAGGTTATTCATCAATCACCAGCAATCATTTCTATAGCTTCACCCCTGCCAGGAATCATTTTAAAACTCTCAGTAATTAGTTGAAATAAATAGGTCTGCTGGGATAAACAGCTCTGAAGCACCATTTGGGCACTCACTGGTGCTGCTGTGAGCTTTTGATCTCACTGGTGGACAGGGAGGGGTGGTAGGAGGGAGGTGGTACTCAGTAACCTCCTCCTGTCCCCAGTTTTACCAGTCAAAAACTCATACTGGAAGAGGCTTCCAGTGGTCTCTTCACTTTGCTACTTCCATCCCTGAGGCTGTATCTCATGGGTTTATAGTCGTGTCACTGCTGCAGCAGCACAGGATACTTCTCTGGCTTCCTCCTGCTAATTTCAGTGCCTTCCAAGCTGTGTGCTGCAAGGATAACGCAGCATCACTGAGCACAAAAACCTCAGGCTGGGGGGGGGAAGAGAAATAGCTCTGCTTTGTCTGTTTGGAAATTCAATGATTTCAACACATTTATCAAATTTAAATAATTTATGTCTTGACAGGCCTTATCAATTTTGCAAAGCACACACATTAACCAGATACAATGATCTCATATTAGCTTTTTCAGCACCTTACACTGGAGCCCAGAAAGATTAATAAAAACTCAGCCCATCATCAATTAAATGGAAAAACATAAAATTGTGTTCCATTATAGCCTTTTTTTTTTTCTCGAAAATGATGACGAGTTCTAATACTTCATCACAACAAGCTGAGCTTGAACTTTACTGATTATTAAACATGTTTTTCCCAAAGGCAGAGGCCATGATGGGTTTTATGGCAGCAGATGTGATTGCTGTCAGGAATGCTTCAAGGAATTCAGGAATTAAGCAACCTCTTTCAGCAGGACTGTATAAAAAAGCCATGTTTGTTTCATCTAGTTACAGCCTTGTTTTTCAAGATGTTATAAGCCCGTGTGCTTTCATAATTGTCAGGTGAATTAACTTTCATATATCACTGCAGTTTTTGCTAGGAACAAAAGCTGTGAATTAACAACTTAGGCTACCACACAGAAAAATCTTTAAAGATGCCTTGATCTTCAGCTGCCCAAATGCATGCTCAGGTTTTTGTTTGGAAATTTTCAACTTTTTATCCCTTCTTCCCAAAATTATGCTGGGAAGCTTTAGGATTTCCCTTGAGAAAACAAAATTGTGCAGGTCAGCCTGCCCCAAGAAACAAGGAATTGCTCTGCACTGAATCAAAAATCTTTCATTTCCAGACAGGTCCTGAAATTTGCACTGGTTCCTCCTCCTCCTGACTTTGCAATCAGCTGCAGCTCCCAGCTACCTTGCCACTGTGCCAACGTGAATTAGACAACAGTAGCTGCACAAGTGAAAATTGAGTGTGTACTCTGCTTTGTAGGCAGCATGTAACATCCTGCCACGGTTTGGAGTTTGTGTTTTCTCTCAGAAGGTGTATTTTAAATTCGATAAGTATAGAGGAGTTGTAAGTTAAAAAGTGTATGTGAATACCTGAGGGCCTGACAGCAGGGTATGTGGCTTTCATACTGGGAAAATAACAAGAAAGCTCCCAAGAAATACAACTAACTTCTGTATTTTATTTTGGTTGTGAAGGAAGTACAAAAATGACTTGAAATATCTGATGTGAAGGGGCTGTTAAAGCATGGCCACATATTTGGCTGCTGGCTTTACTTCCTGAGCTGAATTCTTCTGCCGTGGTTACGGTGTAGTTGATGATGCAGGGGATGATGCAGGGATCCCGCGGTGCTCAGGGTGACTGTCCCCTTCCTGGTGGGTGGCTGATGGACAGCCAGCTCAGGGGGCTGCCAGTGGTGCTCCCCAGGTCCTGGTGATGCTAAATACCTGTGTGGCAGCCCGGTCTGACCCATGAAGAGGCCATGAGCCATCCGTGTTTTATATAATCCTCTAAGCACTGAGCTGGTGGGGAGGAACAGAGCGAGCGGGGATTTACTTTTGTCAAAGTTCAAAAAAAAAACCCAATAAAAATGACAAAAGACTTCTCAACTGGAGGTTGAGAGCGGGGTCTTTGTGTCCTGTGTAGCTCTGGAAGCAGCGTTTGCAGTCTGGAAGAAAAGAGAGGTGCGAACAGCACACCGGCAAAAGCGGGACCTGAATGTTCCTGAAGGTCCTGTCTGTTGGCTTGATTAGTTGAGCAACTTCAGTTTTGTTACACAATTATCAAAAGCTGGGAATTAATTATTTCTCCATGTAAATGCAGACTCCACAGAAATTGCCACCACCATTTACCCATGCTAATGGAGGGGGTGGGATGGGGATATTCAGAAAAGAGCCTGAACCTTCTAACTGAGGATGCTCTTGCTCTCCAGGCACCCAAAATGCTTTCCTATGCTTGTACAACATCTCCATTGCTAAACTAAATAAATAAATACCATCTAGCTGTTGTGACTGGCTTTCTCTCTCCTGTGGGCAATGAGAGACTGCTTGAAATACTCCTGTGCAAAGATAAAATGAAGTTAGAAATTCAGGGTTCACCTGCTTGATTTCTGTCTCATTTGAAAACAGATCATAAAGAGGGACTATGGGGTTCAGCATGCTGATTTCAGCAAAGGT